AAATATAAATATAAATATAAATATAAATAAAGTTACCCTGTGTCAACGCAAGAAGTTCTAAATTCCTACAGTGCTCCTCTTGCTTTGTTTCCCTTCCCCCTCCCTCCCTTCCCTACAAAGGTTAATTGTTCAGCGTAATGGTTACAACCATCCCTATTTCTCTAAAAACAGCCCTTCGAAAAAGTTGTGAAGATTACTTTAACTCTCCAGGTAAGCTTGTTGAGTTACACTGTCAACAGCAACAGAATCTGCAGTTTTTGGTTTGAGGTAATTGGCAACAATTCAAACGAAGTTTATTTTGGTTTTTTTTTTTGCAAAGCTTTTTTGCTAGACTTAAAACAGTTTTCTTTCTTCAAATGAACTGAAGATATTGGTTAAAGCAACTTTTATTGTGCTTGGTTTGCTAAAGATTTTACAAGTAAAACTGTTATTCAAACATCGTCAGTCGCAACTGTGACCGTTCAAAAAAATACTGTATGCTTAAGAGATAGAGTAGTTAGTAATTAACTAAATTTATACCACCAGCATAAACGGTGATAATAAAAATGCGTTTCAGATTGAATAATCAAAAAGTTTTGAAGCTAAAAACGCATTAAAAAAAATTTCTAACCACTAAAAATTAGGTAACTTTTAATTTCCTTCTGGTTTTAAAATAACAGAACAGATAAAATAACTAAATTACTTATTAGATCTTCATGGAACTGCAAGGTCATTAGTGGTGTGTAATCCAGCAAATTCTGCAATGCAAAATGCAGTACTGTTATCTGTAAATGACGTTTTCAAACTTTTTTTTTGTACCCTGCCTTATCCATTAAGTTCTGAAACTATGCCGTGGTGAGCGCTGATTCACCCTTTCTCGCATCAGTGCAAATTTGCAACGACGCTTTGCTGACTGACTGAGTTAGATGACAAGAAAGGATCAAACATATAAGAATGCTTTAAAGTTTGAAAAAATTCTTTTTCCATTTTTGGGACGTAAACGTTGTACATGCTGAGACTAAGACTAAAGGAGATATAACCACAGACTTTTGGCAACACCTGTGTCTCCTTCCGACTCCAATTTTTTTATTCGTATTGATCTCATTAAAGCTTCAAAGCTCGAGGTTAAAGTGGCGAGACGCTTACTTAGAAAATGGACTGAGTGGTTCTCAAAAAACTCTTCTAGGGCTCTAATCAACGTGTTTTTGTCAGAAAAAATTTTTTTTCGTTTTTCTGAGAAAGGATAAGAATACAATGAATTAAATAAGATAATGCACTAAGCATAGTACTGCATGTCCAAAAAGAAGGAAATGGAAAGCTTTATTTATTTTGACGTATTAAGGTGAGTATGATCTACTAAATGCTGCAGTTTACAGGAGCACAGAAGTAAAAGGAAAATTTGTTATTTCGAAGCAGTATGGGTTTAAGAAAAAATTTATTTGAATTAAGCAACTATCAAAAACTTATGGGCTCCGCTTCTCGTCAGTTTTAATTACCAGGTTATTCAAAGCAAACCCATACCTAGAGAAGCTTATAAAAAATAGAGTAACTCAATTTTGGTGAAAAAAACAAAGGTCTGAAAACAGCCAATTTTTTGCCCAATTACGACTACCATTCTATTGGAATTGTGTTTGATCACTATCGGTTTATCGAGCAGCAAAATCTGGTTTGTCCACCATAAATAAGTTTTTGCTTCTCGAAAATACAAGATTGTAGATATCCGTTATTTAAAAAATTCTTTTTCGACGGATACATGAAACTTATTAGCATGCCAGCAAAACAGCGACTTAAAATAAAGACAATTCAATATTTTGAATGGTTGTCTCAAAGGTCCTATTTAGAGCCTCTAAGATAACTGCTGACAACGTTTGAAATTTGAGAATTAAAACAATTGCATTTTTCCCGAACTGTATTTGTTATATTTCCTGTACAGATCGTTATAATACATAACAAACTGAAAATTATTACTACGTAACATCTAGACATACAACGTGTAACTTTTAGTTCAACTGAATGTACTTTAGAACCAAAAATTTATAAAATGCCACTTTTTCATCAAAAACACATGTCACCAGCTGGCATACCATTTCGTAAGAGCAAACGAAGCTGTGCAAGATACTAAATGAATTCTAAGAACTTTTACGTCTCTAAGTATGTTGCGTAAAATGCTGTAAGAGGATACTTATAAATGTTTCTGCTGAAAAGAGATACAATGTTACCAGAGGAAGCAGCTTCACTTGCCATGAAATCAAGCAGTTAAAAAAAGTTTTTTAAAAAGGATGGGTTGAATAGAAAAAAAAAGCTAGAATCTCTCATTAAAATGTCAAAAATTGATTTATGGACAGAATTTGCTTTGAGTACATTTCGTGGTTGGGTTTATTCAAGAAAGATTTCCCTCTTGCGCATGGCATTTTTTTCACTTTTCCTAAACGAGTCCCAATTCCGTAGATAAGATAGACTAGTGTTACGCAAACTGATCGCTTTCTAACTTTTTTTGCTGGAACAGAAAGAAGGCTTATGTCGTCTATCGTCAACTGATCCTAGAGGTACAATGAGTCGTTTGACTGAGCTCCACTTTTTGAATGCCGTGTAATCCTTTCAGTTCAAAACTCACAGCATGCCCCTTGCCCTCCAAACAAAAAGGGAATAAAAAATAGATGACTAACGCGTCAATGTCAAGAAATGTTTCATCAATTTCAACAGTTCCTCTGATCTTCACAAATTCCTTCCAAGAGCTTAACTTAGCTCTATGGTTGAATCCTGTAGGCTACTGTGTTTGATCTTCTTTTGAAGCTTAAGTCTACTTTGCAACACCAACAAGTGTTTTGCGCTTAACGGGCTGTTGAAAAAGGGCTTTGGTTGAGATTTTGCGACCCATGTTTCGTGGATTGCTTTTGGTTATAACTAAAGGAAATCGTACTGAAATGCGACCAAACTCCATTGTTGAGTTTATATTATTTGCTTCTCAGTGGGGCTTAAAAAAGACAAATTTTTCAAAAAATTTGAAAAGTTATCAGTGGTTCTACTACCTATTTCTGAAAGCAGCTGCGAAATCCGACCCAGAAAAACTTGTGCAGATATTTACCGTTATATGCACGACATTACAGTAGCGATTTTAGAGATAGGATTATACGATTTGTTCAAAATAAATCTATGTTTTCGAATAAGTCTTGTATGTCTCAAATTACTTAAAAATTTTAGTTGGAAAATTAAGAGTCAAAACTTTGGTGCATTTTGCTGATGAATAGGGTTAGGCAATATTTTTAAAAATCTCTGTACAGCTATGTTGTTAACAAAGCAAATGTTGCTTGAAAAGGAAAATTGTGACAGGTGTGATTGAGTGGTGAATTAGTGTATCAAGTTTTTAACGTCTTTAGTAGTACAGATAACAACCAGCAGCAGAAAAATTGCTTATGTTATTCAGCCACACACACTGATATTTTATAAATTTTCTTTTTTAATTTAACAGATACCTCAAATTCAGAATATTTTTAATTTAAGAAATTATAAAGCCAACTTTCTTCCTTTTCATTTTCACTCAAAAAGGCTTAATCATTGTTTCAGTTGAAAAAAATGTTCTACAAGATGGTGCACAGTGATTACTTTCAACAATTTATCTAACATAAAAAATCACAAAGATTTTTTCAATTACAAAAATATTTCCTTTCAGAAGATGCCCATAAATTGTTAGCTAATTTAGTTGTTTTGAGCATATCAAATAGTTGCTAAATATATTTAGAATTAACATAAAATTGAAATTATCTAAAAATCTTGAAAAAATTGTTTTACCGCGGTTTCGGACAAAGTCGTTTTACACAATAATAATAAGAAAAAAAGCATCCTGCTAGGAACGTGTCAAGAACGAAAAATTATCAGACTTTTCGTACAGTTAAGCTTTTTGCACTCAAGCGCCTTAAATAATTGAATAAATTAATTCTTGTCGTTAGACTTAGAACTTGTTTAATGTGCACTGTGTAAGAAAGTAGTATTTCTAAATGTGAAAAACCAAAGTGGGGGCAACTGCAGTTAATTTTTGGGAATGCCATACGTTATCATCGCATGAGAGACAGTGAAATATTTCTGCAGCATCCTCTTCGAATTTACTATTGTAATACGAAATATAAACTTTGATTCCTTCATCAATACCAAAGCTGTGGAACGAAAACCAAGATCTTTTAATCATTATTTCATTACTTCTTTACTATCACACTTTTGTCATTTTTCACTCGACAAGTGACTTTGTAATTTTTTTGAAACTCATATAATAAAAAAATTTTTTTTGTACAATAAAAAACTTATTTTTCCCTTTAACCTTTTTCAGTGTTTAAAGATAACTAAAGCAGCAAAAAAATTAAAACTGTTTAAAAAAAAAACAAAAAAATTCAAGGAGTTCTTGTAGCAAAATAAAGCAGTTAAGGTCTGCCTTTTTGCAGATTTTATCGTGCACGACCAGCACACACTTTGATAAAGTTAAATAAATTTCTAAAATTATGACGAGTGCCAACCTTATTCTTGTTGCTACTTCAGTAAAAATTTTCCCCGTAATTGAATACTAAAGTATAAATTAGTTTACTATTTTGAAACTAAGATTTTTTGATAAACTCAGTTAGTTGTTTTTCAACTTCTTCAATCAAAAAAATAGCCAAAAAATTGCAAATATTTGCAGACTATCCCGAACGCTATTTGATAAAAGACTTCTTTTTCGGTTACCTTCTAATAAAATTTTTTTGTATTACCAGAGATAATAAAAATATTAAATTTAAATAATTAGGTCATGAAATTGTCATTTTGCTTAATATCAGGCGAGTTACTGTAATAATTTATAAGAATTTTCAGAAGAAAATCCGTTAGCTACAAAAAAATTAACCTTATGCATTCATTATATCCTGTGTTGCTGTTGTTGTTTAAAAAAAAAAAAATGTGTTATAGAAACTGAATTATAGTAGTCTTCACAACTCGTTAACAACCGGACAGTATTTTTTAGTGTTTAAACAAATAATAAAATTAAAAGCAAAAAAAAATTACTTACCGAGAGGTCCTAATCTGTAATTGAAAGTGATAAATATAATCTTTCTGGAAACAAAATTATTGAGAATCGCTTCTTGGGAGTAGTCGGCACTGGATCCTGACTGAAAATTTCCTCCATGGATCCAGACAATTACAGGATATGTATCATTAGTGAACTGCAAAGTCATAGTAAAAGTTTATTCCTTTCTTTTTTTTTTTTCAATTTATTTACAAACCTTCAACAGTAACATCAGCATTAAATGAGAACAAATTTGACTACAAAAAGATTTCTTTTTAGGAAAAAAATTGCAGCTTGAAAACAGAGTAAAAGCAGAGTTTAGTATTTTTTCTAAGCTGTTGTCATTCAAAATATAAAAAAATTTTTTTTTAAAATAACTTCATATCTCCATTTCTCCGTCAGCCAGTTTTCTTGGCTGACGAAGAAGTCCTATCATAACTGAAAATTCGTTCACACTTTTTTTTTTTTT